TTCTCTTAGAAAAAATTAAAAAAAAAAATATTAATAAGAAGGAAAATTTTTTTTTTTTTTATCATTTGCTTCTCTCTATTATTATTACATTTTTGGTCGAAATTTATAATAACAAACAAAAATATACAAAAATTAAAGAAAAAAAATAATAAAAAATTATTATACAAGTAAAAATAAAATTAATAACAATTCTCTTTAAATTTAAAATTGAAAATTAAGAAATTATTTTAAAGAAAAAAGATCTAGTTCATTGAAATTTTTCAGTTTGAATTTTTATAAGAAAATTCTTTGACATTTTTTAAATAAATGAGCAAAATAGTGAAGTATGAAAATTAGAAAAAAAAAATATTTTTGAATAGAAAAATTTTAATTATAAAAAAATTTAAAAATTTTATAATTAATTTATTTTGCAATTGAATTAATAAAAATAATTTGAAAATATTTTGGAAATTTAAAATAACAGTTATCATAATTAAATATAACAATAATATTAAGTAATATAACAATAATGTTATACATTTAAAATAATAATTACAAAATTTATATTACAAATTTCAACAATTTCATTAAAGTGTTTTTCAAAATCAGTAAATGAAAAAAATTATTAAATTTAAAAATTTAAAATATACCACAAAAATTATTTACTAATAACTGTAAATAATAATAATATAATTACATACATACTTGAATAACGGTATAAAAAAATAAAATATTATAAAAAATAAAAAAAGTGAATAACAGAATAAAATTTCAATAATGAAAGTCCTGCAGTATCAAAACATATTATAAAATCATAAGAACAAAAACACATAAACAAAATATAAATAGTCATAGAAAAAATCCTAGAAGAAAAATAATATTATATTACATACATAATATAGAATAGGCAAAAAAAAAAAAAGAAATAAAAAATAGAAAAGAAAAGAATCATCAGGATCATAAGGACAAAACGAAAAACAATAATAATAAGAAAAAATATGCCGGTCGAGAAACGTGTTAACCATAAGAAATAGCAAAAACAAAAATATGATAACAATAATAATAATAGTAGATAAAAAAAAAATAGAAATCACAGGAAAATAAAAACAAACAACTACAACAAGCAAAAAAAAAAGAACAAAGTCAAGACAAGAAGGCAGTAGCAAAAACAAAATTTCAAGAAAAAAAAAGAAATAAATTAAGAAGAAAAGAAAAAATGAAAAAGCAAACCAGACATGGTGAATTTTCATGAATGACTTTTTTTTTCTACTCTGACTACATGGTTTATTTTTCAAATTTTTTTCTTTTTTATTATTTTCTATTCGTTTGTTTGTTTGTAAGTTATTTTTGTGTCCACTTTCTCTCATCATTTTTGTTCTACATTTTTCGTATTATTTTTAATTTTTTTTTTTTTTTTTTGTTAATATTTAATAATGATAATTTTGAAACATGAGAAAACAATTTCAATTGGTTTTCCTTTTTTTTTGTAATTTAATAATATTAATTAACACGAATTTTAATTTGGTACTCAAATCGTAGTTACTTAGTCGGCACAAGTGGAAAAGCACTTGTTTCATTTGAAATAGGATATTCAAATAATAGCTGCTACTGCCATCTGTTCTACTTTTATTATTACTTTTTTTTTCTTATACTGGTATTGTCATCTGTTCACGAATGCATTTGCTTTTATTGAATATTTAGTAACATCGGCATAATCTCATGAATGAAAGTTATTGGTATCCTTCTGTAATTTCTCCGACATTATAATATGATATTCCATATACATTTTGAATGCGATTTTGAATGAAAATTTACAATTAAATTAGATAATTATCTTGCTAAAAATTTCGAATTAATTAGTAAAATATATTTTAAATTTAAATAGCCTCATTTTATAATTGTCATACCATTCATATAATAAACTCTATTAATAATAACTTATTGAATATAGTATACAAAAAAAAATTAACAATGTTGCATGCAAGTAAATTGCACATAATTATTATCAAAATAAAACATACAAAATATTTGACGTTAATTTAGAAAAAAAAAACAAAAATTAAGTAAAAACTTTTAGAAAAGTTAAAAAAACAAAACAATCAGAAAATAACAATAACAAATATGAAAAAACTAGAAAAATAAAGAAAAATATAGTGCACAAAAAAATTTTTGCAAGGACTCTTTAATAATTTTAATGTGATTTTGTTGTTTTGTTATTTGTTATTTTTATTATTATTAGGATTATTACTTTTTGTTATAATTTTTTTTTAAATGCAACTAAACTCCATTTTTCCCCTTTTACTATGGAAAAACAACCCCAATTACCATACTGATTCTCACCACCATACATATTAGGTGACTTCGGAGACAGGGTTAAAGAGAGATAGGAGCAAAAACATATAGGCAAAATAAAAATTATTATAAAAAACTAAAACAGTAATAATAAAATAATAATAATAATAAGAGCGAAAAACGCAACAGAAACAAAAATTAAAAAAAAAAAGGAATTGCATAAAAATATACCGTTATACATAAACCACATATGTATGTATGTATGTATTTATATAAATACTAAACATAATAATAAAACAACAACAACAAAAAAAATAGTAGTAGTAGTAGAATGTATAGAAAGAATACAAAATAATAATATGATGATGGTAAAATTGATGATGATGATGATGATGACTAAAAACTGTGATAAAACAAAACAACAAGAACAAAAAAAAAACAGAAATAGAAAAAAAAATTGAAAAGGAAAACAAATGCATTTTAAAAAGTATTTTTTTTTCTATTTTTTATTCAGTTGCACGTTGTTTATCAAATCAAACGGATGTTTTACAAAAAATGATTTTTTATTAAAAAAAAAAAAAAATAAACTAAATAACTGTTATTTACATAATAAGAATAAATGAAAATTATTATAATAAAAGTAATTTACAGGAATTTTTTAAATTTAATAATTAAATTTTTTTTTTAATATTTGAAATTTAATGAAATTTTTTTTTGGAATTAGTCGAATTAGTTTTCCAAATGAGATGAAACTTGTTGTAGTTAAAATTTTTATAATTGGATATTGATTTTCTAATCTATAATTTCGAGTTTTTTTTTTTTTTTGGTTTCTAATTCTCAGTGCTATGTGAGGAAATAATTTTCTAAAATTTAATTTATTGAATTTATTTAAAAATTTTTTGATTTTATTTCTATTAGACTTGGATTTAATTATGATCTCAAATATTTGAACAGTTTTACTGAATATTTGAATTGTTTCCAAAAATAATTTTTCTTTCTTTTTTTAACATACTTTGGCTTTTAAATTTAAATTTTAAATTTTAAATTAATTTTTGCATTATTAAAACAATTTACTTAAATTTTAAATTCATTATTAAAAATATTAATTTTTAATTGAAATACTTTGTTTTCCAAAATTATTTTATTTTTTTTAAAATAATTTGAAAATTTGTGAACTTAAAATTGTATAATAATTAAATTAATAATCGAAGAACAATAATATATGAATGTATATTGAAGGACAATTAATTTGATATGAAAATTTTTACTTTCATTTTAATATTCTGTTTAATAATATAAATTATAAGTATATTATAAATATAGAATATTATGAATAGAAAATTTCTATTGATATTAAATAAATTATTAATAGAAAATAAAATTTTTAAACTAAAATTTTAAATTACATTTGAAAATATAAGTGAAAGTGAAAATAATTACTATAGAATTTTTATAATTGTTCAAAAATGAAAACTGGATTAATTATATAGGTTAAAAATTCCTATGAAATAATATTAAAAACTGGTGATTTAGAACAAAACAGTATTTTAGAACAATATTAATATTAACTAAAAAAAAAATTTCCAAAATATTTGACTCTTTTCTATATAATATTCAAATTAATATTATTAATTGAATTTGAATAAATAAATTATAATTTATTTTATTAATTCAATTATTAAAATTTAATTTATACTACATATTTGTATATTCGTATATACAAATTACATTTGTAATATAAAAATTATAATTTTCTATTTCAAAAATATTTCATTTATAATTTTCTTTTTTTTTTTTTGTTATTCTCCTACAGAGTGTGCAATAAAAATTAAAACATTTCTCTTTTTTTTTTTTGTTTGTTATGCAACGTTAAAAATATTTTTTGAAATTAATTATTTGAACTAATTGAATTAAAAAACAATAACATTTTCTTATTAAATTTCTTGTTTTAAGTTTTTTTTATTATCCCCGTTTTGATTTTGATAATTTTTAAAGTCTTGTTTATTAAAAAACAAAAATAATGAATTTACGATACAACAAAGTTGATTAAAAATTAAGTTTTAAAAATAAAATAATTTTCTGTTATACAATTTACAATTTGCATCGTCAGTTCAATTAAACAAATAACACAAAAGTAAATAATAAAAATTTAAAAAATAAATTAAAAATTGTTAATTAAAAGTTCAAAATAAGAAAAAAGTAAAATATAAATTTAAATTTTATATTAGAAGAATTTAAGAAGAAATAAAATTTCTTTCTTTTAAGAAGAAATTTAAATAAATAATAAAATATTTATCAAAGTAATTGAAAAAAAAATTATGAGAAGAAACAAATGAAATTTTAATATTTTAAAAATAAAACAAAAAAAAAAATCATTCGCAGAGTACAAATTTCGAAAATTTTCTTAATTATTTTTTTTCATTTCGAACAAAAGAACATACAAAATATACAAAATTTTAAATAACATTTAACAATACAATTACAAAATATCACAATAAATTTTAAAATTAAAAATTTTTGCAAAATTAAAAATTACAATTAAAACTCAAAGTAACAGGTAATGTCCTCAATTCAGAAAATAAAAACTATTACAAAAAATTTTAAAAATTTCCAAAACTTTAAATTTTATTTGAGTCAATAAATTTTTAAAGAAATTCAAACACAATATTAATATTAAAATTTCAAAAATAACTTAGTTCACTATTGAAGAAAAAAGACAGGAAGAAAATTTAAAAAAAATTTTTCAATTTTTTCAAAATTTTTTTAAAATATTTCGAAAAAATACAAAAAAAAAAAATTTTTTTTTACAATAAAACAAACGAAAATAATTGATAAAAATCATGTTGCTGATTAAAATGAAGAAGATGACGACGATAATGAAAATTCAATTAATAATCAACATGCTGATAAATTAAATCTGGCGGATTTTTAAATCCCTAATAATTTTACAAAAAAAAAAATTAAGAAAAAAAAAAATTTAAAAATAAAAACAGAACGGAATCATTTGGGTCTCCTTTTCAAAAAAAACAAAAACTAAGAACGAAGCAAAAATTTAATCGTGGAGCAGGGAAGAAATCTTTATTTTTTTCAATTGAAAGATTTTATTAAAAGTAAGTAAATTTTGTAATTTTTGTTCTTTTCTGAATTTAAATTATTTTTTTTTTACATAACTAAGAGGAACATAAGGAAGACTCTTCCTCTTTTTTACATAAGGAAGTGTCTCAAAAGAAATAATCTCATATGAACTCTTAAATATTGCTTTGAAATGCAAGAAATTTAAAAAAAATGCTCAAATTTACTTATATGTGTAATAAATATAAGAAAGAGGCATTAGAATTAGGAAATGTTTTTGAAAAAAAAGGATCAAATTTATGATATTAAAATATTAAATCTTTGGAATTGCACTTACGACTTATTCTTTGACATACAGTCACTTTCAATACATACTCAAATATTTCTTTTAATCGAAGATTTTTTTATTCACCTTACATTTCAAATATTGGGTTATATTTCTTATACATATATTTGAAGTTTCATCTTTTCGAATAATAAATAAATGAAATTTTAATTTAATCAAACAATTAATTTAAACAAGAATGAACAAACATTTCAACTAGGCTATAGAATGGAACTGAATTTTTACCAAAAAATACTTTTAAGAATTTTTTGTTATAATTCGTGAGTAATTAATTATGTAGCTTAATGCAGATAATTAAATTATTAAAAATTGAAATCAAAATAATTTCATTCCAAATTTCCTGAAATGCACAACATATTTTTGTGTAAATGTTTTTATCCCAAAACATAAATTAACTGAATTTTATTTTAAAATGATTTTTCAGTTTTCTTTTTAAATATAAATTAACAATTAGAATATATTTCAGTAGCAATTCAGAGAAATTTTTATTTTAATCATATGGTTTCGATTAAAATCGTAGTAGTACTTGAATTAATATTAAATTATGTATTATTAAAAGTTCATAGGCTTTGATAAAATTTCAATATCCGTCGGTTTTTCATTACAAAATTTTTATTAATAAATTCTAAAATTTGTTAGAATTTTTTTGAAATTTTATTAGATTTGATATATATATAGTTTTGATTGAGTATTTTTCTTTTTCAACGATTTCCAATTTTCCATCCATACATAGCATAGATTTTTTAAGATTTATGTTATTATGAATTTAAATTAGAATTAAAATATTAAATAATTAATATAAAACATTGTTTTTGATAATGGCTAAAAATTGTTAACTATGCTAAAATAAATTTCCAATCTTGAAAATTTTTTTCGCTTTTACATCCAATACTCATTTATTTTTAAATTAGTAACTTTAGTAAAAATTGCATATATTTTGGGGTTCACAAAAAAAAAATTTTCTTAAATATTTTAAAAATATTTTAATGCAAGATTAAACTATAATCAAAATTTAAAAAGTTATAATACCTTTTCACTCAGTTTAAGTATCAGTTTCTTGTATGTAACAATTTAAGACTAACTATAGTTATTACAATAGATCCTTATACGTGGTCGCGGTGCACTGTTGCCCCTTGTTGTACAAATCTACAATCTACAATAGTTATTACATTAAAAAATTCAATTTCATTAGCCTTGCTTTTTTTCAAATGGTTTTTCAATTTAATTAGTAAATTTTCTTTTCTAAAAATTATTAACATTTTTCAATAATCAAATTCCTCTCTTATTATTATTCAAACACGTATTCAATAGTCAATATCTATTTGAACAAATATGTAAATAACTAAAAATTATAGTGAATTCGCAAATTCTCTATTTTTATGCTACAAATTTTAAAGGAGATGTCTAATAATACGAGTACTATGAATACTTAGCCTTTTCAACCTATGACATTTTATTGGTAATAAATTTCATGCAGTAAATAAAAAATTGGTTTTCACTAATCAATAAAATAAATAATTCAATTGTATTTTTTATGTAAAAATTCTTTAAAATTTTTATGAAATTGAAAAGCCGCCGGTAAATGAACAAATTTTCATTTAAATCTTTAAAATTGTTGAAGTTAAGTGTAAAATCAGCTTGTATAAGAAAAGTAAATAATATGTGCGGAATAAAATCTAGCATAACACCCTAGCATTTTTCAAAAAATTAACTTACATCTTAAATTTTCTTTTATTTGTTCTTTGAATTCAATTAAAATAGACTCTTTAAAAGAATTGTAATTTTACATTTCCATACTTTTAGTCGAATTTCGAAAATAAACATTTAAAATTTATTTCAAATAAATTTTAATGCAAATTATTCTTATGATTTAAGTTTACTCTGCTGATATGAGATTAACTTTTAATATTAATATGCAATATTAAATATTTATTTAAAATTTCATGAATTATTTAAAGCGTTTTTGAGTAATTCAAAATTGAATTAATTAAAAAAATATATTAGAAAAATTTGATGTCATTGAAATATGAAAAAATATATTAAAAGCTTATAGAATATTTTTCTAATTTACCACACTTTTCATTATTTCGAAATTTATTTGTACAAGCTATAAAGAATTAAACCCATAAAATTCTAAAATGACGTTTTGAACCTATTTTTTGGGTTAATTAAAAATTTCTTGCAAGCATTGTAGATTATAGATTTTATTGAAGACAAGACAACAATATACCCACCATTAGGTCAACTTATTGTGCCCCCCACTAAGTACAGATTCTTACATGCATACACTTTATATGCATAATGCATAAATGGTTGAAAATTTCCCTATAATAAATTAAGCTGTTTATAAAAAAAGAAATAAAATATAGAATTTTATAAGAATGTAATTCTAAATTGTGGTTATAGTTAGCATATTAAAACGTTCTATTTATTTATAAAATAAATTTGTATGAAGTGAATAAATAATTAAAAAAAAATTTTTAATAAATACACAATAAATTAAATTTCAAATGAATTCAATTTAAAATAAATTTTATTTAGAACCACTTTTGTTCATATATAAAAATTTAACCTCATTTATACGTGCCAGAGTAAATTTATTAGTACTTAATAATCATAGATATTAAAGTAGAATTAGATTTTGAATAAAAAATTAATAGAAATTACCAATGTAAGTTTTGCGTATTCTTAAAACACTAGTAATTAAAAATTTGTATTAGCATTCAGTTAATAGTATGTAGTGTAACGATTAGTATTTTGTTCGTAGATATTAAATGAAATTTGTATAATTTTTTCATTGCTTTTCGGGAGCTATTCAAGAAATTTTTTAAAAAGCAAAATTTCTAATACAAATATATATATTATTAATAATAACAAAATTTTTTTTTGTGAAATTCTTAAAAAATTTTAGAAATTAAAATAAAAATTGTCTCCTTAAATTGGTGTCCTTATATAATACAATTTAGTTAATTGAGTAGAAATCAAAGAAAAGAACCATGTAAATTTAAAATTATCACTTCTATAACAATATAATTAATAAAAATAGTTACGTTAGAGGATGTTACATGTCCCGTCTTTATTTATAAACTTTAGAATAACAATAATTTTAAAGATTAAAGCAATTGTTTAAAATTTAATAAAAATTTAAATTTTTCATAATCAGCCAGGAAATTATTGTCCAATATGAAAATTTAAACTAAACAGAATGAAAATATTAAATTCGGAAATTTTTTATTTTGAATTAACAGCAATATGTTAAAAAGTTGGTACTCTTGAAATATCAATTTACTTTTGGATATCCTTGTATGCAATTTTAATGAAAGAAGTTCTTTGTCAATTCACAATTAGAAATCTGAAAAAATTATGAACTTACCACCTTTCTAACATTTTTGAAAGCTGACTGTAATATATCTACCTTTCATATTAAATTAATGATATTAAGATTTTGCATTTCAATATTATTTTTTTAATTTTTACACCAATATTCATTAAAAAATCTCTAAGTTTCTAATAATAAATTTTATTAATTTTATTTTAGACTTCCCCCATACCTAATTAAAACTCAAATTTTGCATTTCCTTAATAGTGCATTACTATCGCTTGTTCTTCTAATAAGAACTTATTATTTTCATTCAAAACAATTTTTTATATTATTTCAATCGTTCCTACAACATCCAATATATTACTTTGTAATTCTTTAAAGAAACACCAAAACAGGATATTAGAATATTATTCTAATCCTTTTTTATTATGATCGTCAAATTGGAAATATTTTTCTAGAAATTGTATAGACATAAAACTCTAACCCATAACCTATCCAGACAATTTCTACCTGCCCGACAAAATAAATAAATTTAAACTCAAAAATATTGTTTCCTTATTCACTATATATGAAATTTTAATCATTCATGTGTGTGCATGTCCCAAAACTTACCCAAAAATTTTTGTGTACAAAATTCATAACCCAAAATAAAACAACATAGAATTTTACCATAAATTTTTAAGGTAGACGATTCACTCTCACATGTAATGTCTATGATTTTCTAAGAATGTTACATAAAATTTGTGTACGTAACTAGATTTATAACCAACTCTTAAAATACCCATAATATATTATTAGAATTTCACTGATTATAAGCAAAAACCTGAAATTAAAATAAAAAAATATTTCTCAACCCTTAAATTACATTTCTATTTATTATTTTAAATCTCAAATTGAATTCTATGCCAAAAACAAAAAAAAAAAACAAATTCTCTACGGATAAAATATATAAGTGAGCATTTGGTTTTTTTGGATTTTTTTTTTTCAAAATTTTCGTCCTTTAGAAATTTTTGTGCATACACATTTTATTTGTGAACATGTTCCCCGAAATACACAATGCATTAATCAAATAGATGAGAAACAAATTTTTTATTATTTGCAAAATTTATAATAATAATTTCTAGTTTTATTTTTTATTATATAGAAAAAAAAAAATTCATTATCCTTTTAACCAGTTTTCACTTTGAATCTTAACTTGTATAAATATTTTAAAGATTATTTTCGTCTGTCATTTATTTTTGAAAAAAAAATTTTATTTACATACCAATTTTATTTTTTTTTTGGTGGTGTAAGACAGATAACAGGCACACAAGCCCTTACAGAAAGGGAGAGAGAGAGTGAAACACAAAGAATTGCACACAAAAATAAAA